ATTTTTTTTGAAAGAAATCTTTATAAAACAAATAAGAGCCTTAATATATGACAATCGAGCAGAAAAGGCAAGGTATGTAAGTATGAATGTGCATATGCACATGAATACACACATTTATTGTATGTTAGGGAGTGCTAGGCAAATCATTAAAACGTTCGAAAATTAAGAACTAAATAATTTCTCCAAGGCAGAAAAAATATTTTTTTTTTTGGTGTTTATTGGGTCTGTTGAATATCATTAAATATGGAAATTTTTATTCGTTAATTTTAATTTATCTACTAAGGGCAAAGCCTCTTGATAAGTGTACGCTCAGACAAATACTTATAGCACTTTTGGTTTGGTTACTTTTCTATAGGCAAATTGGTTTACATTCTATTAAAAATATAGCAAACTATGTAAATTCGAAGGAATCGAAAGATTACCCTAATGCACATTAGTTCACATATTTATCTTATAATTGTAGCGTTCCTTCGGAGTAGCAAGTGAAAGGCTGGCGTTATGACGGCGCTGCTTTAGATAATTTATGTTATTTACTTACATCCAAATGTACATTCATACATACATACATACATATTACACATACTGATATGCACTTACCGCCTTGCTTGCAAACGCACTTTTTCATAAAGTTGTACACCAACAATGTTTGTGTTGGCACATACCTACATACTATGTTCATATGCATTCGAGAGCCTTTCTCAAATATTTCCTTATTGTTAATTTTGTTAAATCTCTTGGGCCTTAATTATGGTAAATGCGGCATGACTGAAAGTGCGATAATCTAGCAAACACCATAATATATACATACATACGTACATATGTATTTACGTTTATCTTAACATTTCTACTGCTTTTGAAATGAGTCACAGGTGTGCACATAGTAAAAGGCAATAAATACAAATCTCTGCATATTGCTTGCTCATAAAATATTTATATAATTAAGTAAATAGTTTTATTACGAATTCTTGAATTGCTTGAAAAGAAAGTAATGCTTTTTAAGCGAAAC